ATGGAGTAAGTTCACAGTTCTCTGTAGATTAATAGATTCGTTTTTGTTTTGTTTCGTTTTTTAACTTAGTTTTTATAGATTTTTAGGAACAAATAACCAGTAGTAACAAAACAAACAAACACAAAATAATAAAACATATATGCAAAAATGAACATACATACATACATACATACAGTACATACATACATACATACATATATGCGTACATGCATATATGCTTGTATATATGCAAATACATCCATTTCTCAAATGAACATCTATTAAATAAATAGATCAAATAAGTAATTGGAATATCTCCTAGATAAAGTACTTTGAATGATTTAGGAATATGAAGGTTAAAAATATCATTGATGGTGGAGTGCACAGTTTCCCAAAAACTGTTCATTCTTGAGCACTGCCAGAATACATGCGCATGATGTGCCTCTTTTACCCCACCTAATGATTGGTAGATTTTTTTTTTTTTTTTTACTCAAATGGTTTGTAGTAATCGGTTTCCTCAAACGGTTTGAGTTACCTTAACTTATTGGGTTTTACAGTGTAATACAAATACTTTTTGTATTAAGCAGAAAAGCCACAACTCCAAAATTGTTTCAGGCTGATCCTCCAACAAGGATACAGTGGATAGGAATTGCAAAGGAGATGTACATATGGAGAGACTTAAGTTTAACTTAAGACTTGACAAGTGTTGGAAAAAATGGGCTGAGCACCTTTGCAAATAATATGTGAAAATATGCATCAAATGTATTGTGATTTGATACAGTAACCTCTATGACAATCACTTTGTTTCTTTTTCCCCCCTTTTTCTTTCTTAAATAAAAAAAGAGTAGAAAAATAACATAAGAGCAAGAAAGCAAATTTATTGAAGAACTGAAAACCACTGAAGCAATTGAGAACAGAAGAACACTGTGAAACTTTAAAGCCCCCATATAGACTCACCTATCATTTTGGGAGAACTTGAGAAGTGGTGTCCGCTCTGTGTGGTTTGCTTGGTTGGATTTGCCATTGAGGAGGTTTACCATGTTGAAGCTGTGCCTGTGAACAAGCAGAGAATTATTAAATCCCAGCGTGACTTCCGTCATAAATAACACCTCAGCCACATTTAGAAATCAATTCCTGGCATCCATTTTTAATGGCTCTCCTATAAAAACTGGCAGCTGAAATAAAATGGGACTCAAAGTCTTTGAGGAGCCCTGAAAGTCATCCCTCCATTTCAACCCCTATTTAGTCATCTTTACACCCCTATCAAACAATTCGTGACAATGCTTCAAGCAAGGTCTAAGCTGCATGATCATAACATAAATGTGGATTTACAAACATAAGTTGGACATCCACAAGATGAAATGCGTTTCTATAAGTCATCACTTTGAGCTGTTGTGTCCTCCTACAGCGTTCTGTTCTGTCAAGCTGTCTTGATGATTTAACAGGCACCTCAAAACCTGTCAGGGTGAAATCGGGCATCAGGTGGTTTACGGATTCACAGAAGCAAGAGTGTCATTTGGTTATGACAGGTTTAAGGACAATGGCACGCTGTTTATTGGGGCCTTGAACACTAAAATTATGTTCTGACCTTGGTTTACATACTATTAAACACGACGACACAATGAAATAAATCAAACAATTGTGTTGTGACTTTATCTTGTGCCAGTGACAGGTTTATGTAAAGCATGAATCCTCTACAGAAGCCACTATCACAGTGTTGTCATTTAAAAGTACTTATTTATAAATAAACATTTCACAGAGAGCCTATTTTAAATATGCAAATATATGATGGGGGCATCGCCACCAGTGACAATTGTGAAGTGCTTCGAAATGTGCATTTTGAATTCAATCTTTGATGTAATCGCAACTGAAAAAATGAAGAGAGGGTGGGGCATAGAGTAGCTCCTCCCCTTTAAAAAAACAGCCAATATCATTTTGTTTTTATCCCAGCTCTGCCATTGAGAGTGGTTAAGCTCAATCACAAGCGTCTTGAAGGGGGCAGGGCACGACAGATACTAGAGAGCATTTGATTGGTCAAGATTTGATGGAAAACTAAAGTATGATGTGACGTGAAAAAAAAAATTGTTAATCCATTCGGGAAGTAACAAACTGCTAGTTTTACTTGTTTATATCAGTTTTATGTTTTCTAAATGCATATTTTGTCTTTATTTTGGAGCACACTAGCTTAGATATCCTTAAAACTTATAGACAGAAACTAGCATTTACAACATTTGTACATTTTCATGGGACCTTTGAAAAATGTAACATGTACTATTATATCATGTGTCAATTATTACACTATACGATTGCTGTCCTTAAAGTTAATGGACTTCATTTACCAATCTTCTTTCTAAGAACAATCTATGCCATATACCCAACTTGTTCTTAAGCAGCAGAAATGTTTGCACCTGCATTCTTAGGAATGGCGAATCCTGTTTTTTAGGCCCTGCACACACTAACACAGGTATTTTCAAAACTGCACTTTTTTCTATGCGGTATTGCTGTTTGTCTATGTAAGCCCACCGAGCCTACACCACCCAACGTGTTTCAAGCTGGGATCGAACCAGCAACTCCTTTGTATGGGAGTCGGTTGCTCTAACAAGGAGTCTAAAGACCATAGACTATTGGAAAATTATTGGAAAATAACTGCACACCTTAGAATATTCATCACCTAAGAATCAAGTATTCAACAGCCATGTTATGTTGTAATGGCTTTGCAATGCAAGGATCATAAAAAACCTATATTAATATACTCTAGTACCAAATCAATATATTTCTGCATAGCTTGAGCCACTGATAGCATTCCCTCATCCAGTAATCACACATTATCCTCTCAGCCCCCTCAGACAAGGACAACTCTATTTACTGTAGTCATAAAGCAAACATTTCACATCTCATATACTCAATGACAACAGAAAAATATCAATAGGCGTCTCCAAATGAAGAGGGGGAAGAGAAAGGATTGGTTCTGAGCCATTTCTCAAAGAGTGCTGATATTTTTTGGGCCTGCCTGAATAGAGCAGATGGAAATCCCGAGAACTCGGCAAACTAACTTCTGGAGCCTCTTCAGTAATCTAATAATGGTGAGAAATTCTCTGTTTGTCATAATTAATGACAGTTTAAATGGGTTAAGTCCCTCTTATCTCCTCAGCTGGCTCTGAGTTGCTGTGTTATGTGTGAGTTATGGAGAGCCATTGCTGAATGCCAGAATAGATCAATGTTGTTCAGCACAGGCCAGACTATAGAGTCAAGCCCAGTCCAATTCTAACACATCGCTGGGCAAATCCCAAACCACAGCTGCTTAGCATTACAGAGGACTCAACCAACTCACCCAGTGCTGCAAACAGCTGGGATCTGTGTGTGTGTGTGTGTGTTTGTGTGTCTGTGTGTGTGCTCCAGACAAGACATAATAGCCATGGCCTCCAGGATATATCCTGGTGTTGAGTTTGGGCAAAAGGGAGATTAGACAGGATATTTCAAGGCCTTTAATCCCTTTCTCTGCAGTTACACAACAGAGAGGAGATTTGAAATGTTAGCTCACCGAATGCAGGATTTATAAATGAAGCAAAGCCTTCTCTTATTGTGCCTGGATCTGAGTGCGTGAGGTCCAGATGAGAATAAAACGAAAGAGGCGGGGAGTACATAACCCAGCTGGACACCTACCATCCTGCTACAGGGATGGTGTAAGCTGACTAGAATACAAGTCTAATTTAATGTTATCTGAGACACTCAGATCTGTTTTATCAAAGTATTAAAAACTGCAATTTATTTTATGCTGTGTAAGAAAGTGAAACTGTTTTAAAAGTCTTTTTTTATTTACCTTTTTGTATCAAAAGTCTGATGTCGGTAGGATTTTATTTATGTTTGTATTGTATTTTGAAATTAACTGCTTTCTAGTTTGAATATATAACAATAAAACAAGTTATATTCATTAAACAATTCTGTGAGACAAAATTTATCATAGTACCCACATAAATACAAAAAAGCAAAACAGTTTAAAAACATAAAATGATTAAACATGATAAAAATAATGTTTTTAAAAATAATTATTTTCCAATGATTTTGGAAGGATTATGTGACCGTTCAGACAGGTAATGGTGCTTAAATTTTAGCTTTATCACCAAAAAAAGGAATTGCATTATAATATGTAAAAAAAAAGACTTTTTAAAAATCGACTTGCAAAAGTAAACTTTTTGCAATAATATTTCACATTAAAATAACATTTATATAGTATTTCATTGCTAGTGATGCAGATGTGCTGCTCCTGCTCTCAGTGTGAATCCTGCTTGTTTACATTGTCGGCAGCTAGCTCTCTGCAACTCTCACATGGTCGCCCACTAAAGCTAAGCAGGACTGCGCCCGTCACTACCTGAATGCGAGACCACATGGGAAAGCTAGGTTGCTGCCAGAAGTAGTGTTAGTGAGGCCAGCAGGGGTGCTCAACCTGTGTTCTGTGTGGGTCCTAACGCCTCAGTATAGTGAAGGGGACTCTATACTGCTCAGTGAGTTCCGACGTTAAACGAGGTCCTGACTCTCTGTGGTCGTTAAAAATCCCAGGATGTTCTTCGATAAAGAGTAGGGGTTCAACCCAAATTTGCCATCATGGCCTCCTAATCATCCTCATATCATAATTGGCTTCATCAACTCCTCTCCACCAATCAGCTTATGTGTGGTCTGGCACAATATGGCTGCCGTTGCGTCATCCAGGTGGATGCTGCACACTGGTGGTGGATGAGGAGATTCCCCCCTCATATGTAAAGTGCTTTGAGTGTCTAGAAAAGCACTATATAAATATAAGGAATTATTATTTATTATTATTACATGAATGGTGATTAAATACACGCCGCTCAAAAGATTTCTTGGGTGATTCTAACATATCACTCAAGTTGTCTCTTTACATTGTTTCCAGTTCCAAATTCTCTTATTTATTATTTAGAATAATAACTGTAAAATAAGAATAAAAATATGAATGATGATTGGGTGACGGGGTGGCGCAGTGGGTAGCACGATCACCTCACACCTCACCTAAGAGGGAATAAATGAGAGAACAAATAAACATAATTATGAAACTTTCTTCATAATTAAATAATGAAACATTTCCCATAGGACAAAAGAGGGAACAAACAACTATTGAAATGGATATATGGTAGCAGAATGCATGTGATGTGATCAGCTGATGTGATTGAGAGCAGTGGTTATCATTACAGAGCAGGCGATCACAAGACCACAAGCAGATGTCATCTCACGCCTCACTAACAATACATCACGTGACGGCTGATCTAAAACTCCCCTCTTTAATCCCGAAAGTGTCAACCTCAAGCTTCGAAACTGCGCATCGGTGGATTTGCTCTTCAGTATTTGGACTTTCAGCGGTGAAATTTAAACCACACTGTACTGAACTAAACTGAACTTTGACACAATCTACACTGTAAAAGTGCTATAGATATAAACATGAATTGAACTAAATATCAAAGAAGTTTCAGGTCTCTTTGATCAATAGAAATTGCAAAGACTAGCGTTTTTTTTTAAATAGAAAGTAATTGCAACAAGTTTACTGTCAAATTTGACCAGTGTAATGCATCGATGTTGAATAAAAGTATTCACTTCTTAAGAAAAAAAAATAACTTACTGACCACAATCTTTTAAACAGTATTTCATACCTGATGGGAAAAGAGAGTTTGAAGTAATTTTCACTCTTCTCCGGGGATGTAATGTGTGAGAGACTGGTGACCTCACTGCCCAGCCTGCACCTTCTCTCCAGTTCAGCAGAGCTCGCCTCCCACGATTCCTCTCCAGACCCCAGACTGGGCTCATGCAGAGTCATGTAGGTGATACTGCACAAAAACCACAAGTTAGACACTAACTAATGATCTGAGTTTGGGTGCAGCACAATTTGTTTAGTGGAAAAATGAACAAGTTTGACCTTGGAAATCTGTTTGAAACTATATTGGCTCCATTCAAAACTGGTAATAACCTGCATTTTCAATGATCTGTCCATAAGTGGACAAAGCTAAATATAAGTCTGAATTAGCTCTCAAATGTTTTGAGCTTATCAACTTTTGATGGATTCCAGAGGTAATCAAATAATCATTTGACCAGGATGGTTTGAAGGTGCAGACATTTTGCAAGAGGTGTTGCTAAAGAACACAATCCAGACAAGTTTAAACCTTTGCAGATGATAATCACATGTTTGGTTTGAAGAAAAAAAAATGTGAATAGCAAATATTCTCTTATTACACCTGATTCTAAATCCACAGGGTTCTGTGTAGTTTTGCGGCGTATTACTTTACCTTCTCTAAATTGTTTGTTAAACAAGTTTAATTGTAGACTATAATCTGCATGCTCATAAGATATACAGTCGATAAAGAAAGTATTCAAACCCTCATATATTTAACTCAGATTGTATTAATAGCACTTGATTAGGAAAGCCACACACCTGTCTTTATAAGACATCACATATCACAATGCATGTCAGAGCAAACGAGAATAGTGAGGTCAAAGGAACTACCTGGAGAGCTTAGAGACAAAATTGTGGCAAGGCACAGATCTGGCCAAGGTTACCAAAAACTTCAGGTTCCTAAGAGCACAGTAGCCTCCATGATCCTTAAATAGAAGACGAATACTTTAAATAGTAATACTTCAGAAGAAGAATACTTTAATCCAAACAGCAACTTTTTTTGCTGCCAGGCAGTGTATTGTGTTGAACATTTAAATTTTTCTCAGAAAATAGTTTTTTATAAACAATTATTATAAACAATAGGTGGGCCTTCCGTAGTCTGCTCTGTGTCATCAAAACAGTCCTCCGAGATCAAAGAGTAGCTGTTTTCATAAAGCTTGTATGGCTGCTTGCTATCAGTTGCCTCCATCTATTGCCTCTGTTAAGCAATGAGCAGAATGCTAATGCTGTTAGCGATGATACAGTGTACTCAGCTGGAATAATGTATCTTGCCGCTTATAATCAAGTCAAAAAATCCACAGTTATGTAGGCACTTTTATACTCATAGCTACAGGTTTATACTATTTGCCTGCAGAACTGCCTTAATCTTTCAACAAGGTACTGGAATTATTCCTCAGAGATTTTGGTCCATATTGACATGATAGCATCACGCAGTTGCTGCAGATTTGCTGGCTGCACATCCATGATGCGAGTCTCCCGTTCCACCACATTTCAAAGGTGCTCTTTTGGATTGAGATCTGGTTACTCTGAAGGCCATTTGAGTATTGTCATGTTCAAGAAACCAGTCTGAGATGATTTGCGCTTTCAAGGGAGTAAAAATGTATATTTTGTATGGATTAAAAACAACTTGATATTTGTTTTATTCATCTGTGTTTTCTTTCTTTATTCACTTAGCTTACTTTTAATTTATAAATTTTTTGCTTAATTTAATACTTTTATATTTAGTCTTTTTTGTTATTATTGTTTGCTTGTTTGTTTGCTTTTTTGTTTTTCTGTCATTTTTACTCATTTTTAGGCCCCTGACTCTTGAGAAAAACTTTAGTTGCAGTTTTCATACATAGACAAACAATTGATGCATTAAAATCTTGCGTCTGGTTACACTAGAATTTCTATTATCAATGATAATTCAAGTGTTACTCAATGAAAGATGAAATGCAATCTCATGAAAACAGGAATATTTAGCACTGAAGAGGACAATGTCATCCCAACAAAATTAATTTCAGGTATAATCCTTATGCGTATGCCTCTTCAAATATTGTTACATAATCGCTGGCTTTAGAGTTCTGTCAGGGATGCATGAGTGAATCAAGGACAAATGCTGAAAAAAAAAACTGCGTTTAGGCAAGACACTGCAGGTTAAGATGGCAAAAAAAAAAATAGCATTCATCACCAGCTGAATCATTACAATAAACATTTACAGCTTTTTATAAATTCTGTTTAAAATTTACAAAAGAAAAATGCAATTATATATGCATAGGACTAAATTATAAACATTAGATGAAGTTTAAAAGGTTTAAAAACTTTTTTTTTGAAGTTTTTTTTCCAAGTCACAGCAAGAAAGAACAAAAAATCTGATTTGTTTTGTAGAATAAAACATTGTATCTAATCAGAAATATTATATAAACAAATCCTTATCATCCATATCCTCATATAGCCTAGATATGAATAAAACTGTGAAGGTAAGTGCTGCTGAAGTGTAGATTTATGGCTCAGAGATTTATATTTATAAAAATACATATTGTAATTAAAACGTGACACTTAAAGAAAAAATAAAAAGTGTTTTTTTCTGCAGTGTCGCCCCTTAAACAAATTGACTTATTCAAGAGCTATTAAAGTTCATTCCTACATACCTAATAGCAATGTCTGATAAAATATACATATGGATATAAAACTGGGTATTAAAATATCATGGCTAACATTACCACACTCCTGACTGGTTGAGTGAACGGTGCTGTGAAAATCATATCTCAACAGCTGAGAGTGACGATAGTGAACTGCAAGCACTGTTTGCTTTAATTAAGACATACACAGAGGTCAAGACCACAAGGAAATAATAATGCCATACATTAAATGAAGAACTGTGTTTGTCTTCAACCTGGAAATATATAAAGTAATTGTTGAAAACAAAGGTCACAAAGGGATTTTTTCTCATTAGTGAACGAGTACAGGGTCAGTAATTGCAGAGATCAGGTATTGATGGCTGTTCTGCAAGAGCCTCTTTGACTATGCCAAGTCAACAGCTGTCAAATGATTAGTTAAAAAGACTTGTTCAACAATTGCACATGCTTAAGAAAATTTTGAATTATGTATATACAGTGCTCAGCATAAATGAGTACACCACATTTTAAAATTAATATTTGTATCCATTTCTAAATGAATATAGGCAATGTGTTTTGGTGCATTTAAACAAAACAGATTTAATAATTCATTCACTGAACATCTTTAAAATTGAAAGATTCTACATTTAAATTAATGAGAAATATTGCAAAAAAGATTACAACTGCAAAATTTCAACAAAATCAGTTTTTTTATTTTTGTTAGTTTGTTTCTCTCAATTTTTGCTATTTTTTAAAATCGTATTTCATTTTTTTCCCTAACATATAAATTATTGCGAAATATTGCAAAAAAAAAAAAATTTACAAACAGCAAAATTTCAACAAATAGTTTTTTGTTGTTTCTCTCAATTTTTGCAATTTTTAAAAATCATATTACCTATTTTTTCCTAAGATACAAATTTTTAACTACAAATTGTTGGACCGTTACCATAAACTATTTTGTTAGATTAGCTTCAGATTTGGCTTTAGCAGTGATTAATCTAATGTATATGCACAAATGTAATATTTTAAGGTATTCTATAGAAAATATTCATTTAAATGGAAGATTTGTGAGGGGTGTACTGATATATGGTGAGAACTGTATGTCATTAGTTGTTTTGATACATTCTTTTAAGTATTACATTTCTTTTTTACAGCTAAAATGCACTGTTTGACTCAAATATAAATACATTTTAAAAGTTTCATTTAATAATCTTAGACATTAAGATTTATATAACTTTTAGGAGTACTGACTAAATAATTAACTTACATATTGATTAAATTACTTTTCATACAAAGTAATTAGAAATGTATTATTACACTTTATTAAATTAGACCTGAACATTTCTACCCTGATGAAGACATGTAAGTAAAGGCTTTAATATTATCACGTACTGTTTGAGTGCCTTGAACTTATGATTGTGTTGTTTATCTTTATGAATCACTTATCTAAAGAGCAAGTATTTTTAAATATTTTAACAAACTTCCCAGCACTGCAAATAAATACCCTTTTATATGGTGAAGAGTAGAATGTTCATGTTAAATAATATGAAAGCAATGGAGAAGAACTGGATTATTAATTAATTTCATTATACCTTGGGAAATAGTCAGACATTTTTCCAGCCAATGAGAAATACCCAAATCAACTTTATCCAATGAAGTGTAGATAACTCAAAACTTACTGCAAGTTAATTCCAATCATTTGAAAAGAGTTTTGAACTCAGTGTTGAATGTAATTAAATACCTCATTACTTCAAATGGAGTAAGTTCACAGTTCTCTGTAGATTAATAGATTCGTTTTTGTTTTGTTTCGTTTTTTAACTTAGTTTTTATAGATTTTTAGGAACAAATAACCAGTAGTAACAAAACAAACAAACACAAAATAATAAAACATATATGCAAAAATGAACATACATACATACATACATACAGTACATACATACATACATACATATATGCGTACATGCATATATGCTTGTATATATGCAAATACATCCATTTCTCAAATGAACATCTATTAAATAAATAGATCAAATAAGTAATTGGAATATCTCCTAGATAAAGTACTTTGAATGATTTAGGAATATGAAGGTTAAAAATATCATTGATGGTGGAGTGCACAGTTTCCCAAAAACTGTTCATTCTTGAGCACTGCCAGAATACATGCGCATGATGTGCCTCTTTTACCCCACCTAATGATTGGTAGATTTTTTTTTTTTTTTTTACTCAAATGGTTTGTAGTAATCGGTTTCCTCAAACGGTTTGAGTTACCTTAACTTATTGGGTTTTACAGTGTAATACAAATACTTTTTGTATTAAGCAGAAAAGCCACAACTCCAAAATTGTTTCAGGCTGATCCTCCAACAAGGATACAGTGGATAGGAATTGCAAAGGAGATGTACATATGGAGAGACTTAAGTTTAACTTAAGACTTGACAAGTGTTGGAAAAAATGGGCTGAGCACCTTTGCAAATAATATGTGAAAATATGCATCAAATGTATTGTGATTTGATACAGTAACCTCTATGACAATCACTTTGTTTCTTTTTCCCCCCTTTTTCTTTCTTAAATAAAAAAAGAGTAGAAAAATAACATAAGAGCAAGAAAGCAAATTTATTGAAGAACTGAAAACCACTGAAGCAATTGAGAACAGAAGAACACTGTGAAACTTTAAAGCCCCCATATAGACTCACCTATCATTTTGGGAGAACTTGAGAAGTGGTGTCCGCTCTGTGTGGTTTGCTTGGTTGGATTTGCCATTGAGGAGGTTTACCATGTTGAAGCTGTGCCTGTGAACAAGCAGAGAATTATTAAATCCCAGCGTGACTTCCGTCATAAATAACACCTCAGCCACATTTAGAAATCAATTCCTGGCATCCATTTTTAATGGCTCTCCTATAAAAACTGGCAGCTGAAATAAAATGGGACTCAAAGTCTTTGAGGAGCCCTGAAAGTCATCCCTCCATTTCAACCCCTATTTAGTCATCTTTACACCCCTATCAAACAATTCGTGACAATGCTTCAAGCAAGGTCTAAGCTGCATGATCATAACATAAATGTGGATTTACAAACATAAGTTGGACATCCACAAGATGAAATGCGTTTCTATAAGTCATCACTTTGAGCTGTTGTGTCCTCCTACAGCGTTCTGTTCTGTCAAGCTGTCTTGATGATTTAACAGGCACCTCAAAACCTGTCAGGGTGAAATCGGGCATCAGGTGGTTTACGGATTCACAGAAGCAAGAGTGTCATTTGGTTATGACAGGTTTAAGGACAATGGCACGCTGTTTATTGGGGCCTTGAACACTAAAATTATGTTCTGACCTTGGTTTACATACTATTAAACACGACGACACAATGAAATAAATCAAACAATTGTGTTGTGACTTTATCTTGTGCCAGTGACAGGTTTATGTAAAGCATGAATCCTCTACAGAAGCCACTATCACAGTGTTGTCATTTAAAAGTACTTATTTATAAATAAACATTTCACAGAGAGCCTATTTTAAATATGCAAATATATGATGGGGGCATCGCCACCAGTGACAATTGTGAAGTGCTTCGAAATGTGCATTTTGAATTCAATCTTTGATGTAATCGCAACTGAAAAAATGAAGAGAGGGTGGGGCATAGAGTAGCTCCTCCCCTTTAAAAAAACAGCCAATATCATTTTGTTTTTATCCCAGCTCTGCCATTGAGAGTGGTTAAGCTCAATCACAAGCGTCTTGAAGGGGGCAGGGCACGACAGATACTAGAGAGCATTTGATTGGTCAAGATTTGATGGAAAACTAAAGTATGATGTGACGTGAAAAAAAAAATTGTTAATCCATTCGGGAAGTAACAAACTGCTAGTTTTACTTGTTTATATCAGTTTTATGTTTTCTAAATGCATATTTTGTCTTTATTTTGGAGCACACTAGCTTAGATATCCTTAAAACTTATAGACAGAAACTAGCATTTACAACATTTGTACATTTTCATGGGACCTTTGAAAAATGTAACATGTACTATTATATCATGTGTCAATTATTACACTATACGATTGCTGTCCTTAAAGTTAATGGACTTCATTTACCAATCTTCTTTCTAAGAACAATCTATGCCATATACCCAACTTGTTCTTAAGCAGCAGAAATGTTTGCACCTGCATTCTTAGGAATGGCGAATCCTGTTTTTTAGGCCCTGCACACACTAACACAGGTATTTTCAAAACTGCACTTTTTTCTATGCGGTATTGCTGTTTGTCTATGTAAGCCCACCGAGCCTACACCACCCAACGTGTTTCAAGCTGGGATCGAACCAGCAACTCCTTTGTATGGGAGTCGGTTGCTCTAACAAGGAGTCTAAAGACCATAGACTATTGGAAAATTATTGGAAAATAACTGCACACCTTAGAATATTCATCACCTAAGAATCAAGTATTCAACAGCCATGTTATGTTGTAATGGCTTTGCAATGCAAGGATCATAAAAAACCTATATTAATATACTCTAGTACCAAATCAATATATTTCTGCATAGCTTGAGCCACTGATAGCATTCCCTCATCCAGTAATCACACATTATCCTCTCAGCCCCCTCAGACAAGGACAACTCTATTTACTGTAGTCATAAAGCAAACATTTCACATCTCATATACTCAATGACAACAGAAAAATATCAATAGGCGTCTCCAAATGAAGAGGGGGAAGAGAAAGGATTGGTTCTGAGCCATTTCTCAAAGAGTGCTGATATTTTTTGGGCCTGCCTGAATAGAGCAGATGGAAATCCCGAGAACTCGGCAAACTAACTTCTGGAGCCTCTTCAGTAATCTAATAATGGTGAGAAATTCTCTGTTTGTCATAATTAATGACAGTTTAAATGGGTTAAGTCCCTCTTATCTCCTCAGCTGGCTCTGAGTTGCTGTGTTATGTGTGAGTTATGGAGAGCCATTGCTGAATGCCAGAATAGATCAATGTTGTTCAGCACAGGCCAGACTATAGAGTCAAGCCCAGTCCAATTCTAACACATCGCTGGGCAAATCCCAAACCACAGCTGCTTAGCATTACAGAGGACTCAACCAACTCACCCAGTGCTGCAAACAGCTGGGATCTGTGTGTGTGTGTGTGTGTTTGTGTGTCTGTGTGTGTGCTCCAGACAAGACATAATAGCCATGGCCTCCAGGATATATCCTGGTGTTGAGTTTGGGCAAAAGGGAGATTAGACAGGATATTTCAAGGCCTTTAATCCCTTTCTCTGCAGTTACACAACAGAGAGGAGATTTGAAATGTTAGCTCACCGAATGCAGGATTTATAAATGAAGCAAAGCCTTCTCTTATTGTGCCTGGATCTGAGTGCGTGAGGTCCAGATGAGAATAAAACGAAAGAGGCGGGGAGTACATAACCCAGCTGGACACCTACCATCCTGCTACAGGGATGGTGTAAGCTGACTAGAATACAAGTCTAATTTAATGTTATCTGAGACACTCAGATCTGTTTTATCAAAGTATTAAAAACTGCAATTTATTTTATGCTGTGTAAGAAAGTGAAACTGTTTTAAAAGTCTTTTTTTATTTACCTTTTTGTATCAAAAGTCTGATGTCGGTAGGATTTTATTTATGTTTGTATTGTATTTTGAAATTAACTGCTTTCTAGTTTGAATATATAACAATAAAACAAGTTATATTCATTAAACAATTCTGTGAGACAAAATTTATCATAGTACCCACATAAATACAAAAAAGCAAAACAGTTTAAAAACATAAAATGATTAAACATGATAAAAATAATGTTTTTAAAAATAATTATTTTCCAATGATTTTGGAAGGATTATGTGACCGTTCAGACAGGTAATGGTGCTTAAATTTTAGCTTTATCACCAAAAAAAGGAATTGCATTATAATATGTAAAAAAAAAGACTTTTTAAAAATCGACTTGCAAAAGTAAACTTTTTGCAATAATATTTCACATTAAAATAACATTTATATAGTATTTCATTGCTAGTGATGCAGATGTGCTGCTCCTGCTCTCAGTGTGAATCCTGCTTGTTTACATTGTCGGCAGCTAGCTCTCTGCAACTCTCACATGGTCGCCCACTAAAGCTAAGCAGGACTGCGCCCGTCACTACCTGAATGCGAGACCACATGGGAAAGCTAGGTTGCTGCCAGAAGTAGTGTTAGTGAGGCCAGCAGGGGTGCTCAACCTGTGTTCTGTGTGGGTCCTAACGCCTCAGTATAGTGAAGGGGACTCTATACTGCTCAGTGAGTTCCGACGTTAAACGAGGTCCTGACTCTCTGTGGTCGTTAAAAATCCCAGGATGTTCTTCGATAAAGAGTAGGGGTTCAACCCAAATTTGCCATCATGGCCTCCTAATCATCCTCATATCATAATTGGCTTCATCAACTCCTCTCCACCAATCAGCTTATGTGTGGTCTGGCACAATATGGCTGCCGTTGCGTCATCCAGGTGGATGCTGCACACTGGTGGTGGATGAGGAGATTCCCCCCTCATATGTAAAGTGCTTTGAGTGTCTAGAAAAGCACTATATAAATATAAGGAATTATTATTTATTATTATTACATGAATGGTGATTAAATACACGCCGCTCAAAAGATTTCTTGGGTGATTCTAACATATCACTCAAGTTGTCTCTTTACATTGTTTCCAGTTCCAAATTCTCTTATTTATTATTTAGAATAATAACTGTAAAATAAGAATAAAAATATGAATGATGATTGGGTGACGGGGTGGCGCAGTGGGTAGCACGATCACCTCACACCTCACCTAAGAGGGAATAAATGAGAGAACAAATAAACATAATTATGAAACTTTCTTCATAATTAAATAATGAAACATTTCCCATAGGACAAAAGAGGGAACAAACAACTATTGAAATGGATATATGGTAGCAGAATGCATGTGATGTGATCAGCTGATGTGATTGAGAGCAGTGGTTATCATTACAGAGCAGGCGATCACAAGACCACAAGCAGATGTCATCTCACGCCTCACTAACAATACATCACGTGACGGCTGATCTAAAACTCCCCTCTTTAATCCCGAAAGTGTCAACCTCAAGCTTCAGATTAAGACCTCCATTATCATATTCTACCATACTGTCTCTCACACACACATTTTCCCTCACATATGCACACATTTAAAGTGACGTTACTACAGCAATGTGACTCCACATGTGAGCTCCAATCCTCTTTAGAGTCGATTAGCAGCTGTTTCACACAGAAAAGCTCTCACTAAGGGTTCTGGAGGCCTTATCTGCCAAATGCGTTCAACTGAATGTCAGCCATAATACCGCAAGTGCACTGTTACAATGAATTTGTAAAGCATATCTCACATTAAGATTCTTTTCCAGTAAATTAATCATTTTCCCAGCGCAAGGTTTCTCAGAAATATTCTAAAGGTGGCATATGCTATTTTTAAATGTTAAAATCTTTCTTTCTGCAGCAGTTTAACTTGCAGAGACAACTACTGTATAAGTAATTCATAGACCGAACCCCCTGAAGAGTGTTAACAATGCGGCACAAACAAAACATTGTTCTTTTTGTTTGTGCTCGACTACTGGCGCAGACAAACGAGTGTGTTTGAGAAAAGAGAGCTGTCAAGTAGAGTTCTTTACAAGTCCACTTCTGCATTTTGTGTGTGTATACTGATTTTGGTGGTTTACAAGGACAGTTTTTTTTTTTTTGTTTAACAACACTAGTTGTTCTTTATTGCCTTACTTATTACATGCCTGAAGTCTTCATTCATAATTCAAAGAGCTTAAAAATCATACCTAAAGTCTTTTGACATTCAGA